AACACATATTATCACATATTTCATTTTTTTCACATACATATTTTGAGGTTCATCACCACATATTTCTGGACACCCTAGTTCTAGCCCCGCTATAAAATCTTACGCGCAAAAGTAGTCGATGTTGATGCTGTACCTTAATTCTGTTATCACGTGATTTTTGCTTGAAACGCGTCTCGTTAAATACCACGTGACATAGATTTTTGCTTATCTTATTTCTTCTGGTGCTCAGCTAAAATCAGGAGCGGAATGACCTGCTCTTAACACTGGCCTAGCCCTCACAAGCGTAGCGGAATGACCTGCTTCATAAATACTTGTAAATGAGGTTGATGGCGGAATTACCTGCCGAGTCTGTGAATGATTTTGTCTGAGTTACCGTCCGCGCCATGGAAGTTGTTAAATCAGGAACGGAATGACCTGTTCTTAACATAGACCTAGCCCTCACAAGCGTAGCGGAATGACCTGCCACTCAAATACTTGTAAATGAGGTTGATGGTGGAATTATCTGCCGAGTATATGCATGATTTGCTCTTCTTTTTGGGGCCGGACACAAAACTAACAAGCCGTGCTCTAATCTGTATGACTAATATGACTTAGGTAATATTTTTTATACTTTATTTTCAATGATATAGCGGTTATTTCAAGTGAGAAACATCTCGAGTCCTAACCCATAAATGATATTTCCTTCCTGCTATATCCAATTCTTTTTTTTTTGAGAACGCCTATCCACGTCATACCGCAATATGAAGTACGAATATTTCCGACGAGACATCAGCAATTTTAAAAGATACGAACATTTTTTTTTTGGTTGTGCTGACTGATTGTTCTGAGCTTACAAGCTAATAGATAATTTTTCATTTAGGATTTCAAGGAAACATATTAACATTACGGAAGGCAAAAAACATAAATCATCGGCGGGTTTACTAAGATCAATACTGTTAATTTATTTCTGACTCTGCAAGTTCCATGCATAAACTGACGACCATTTTATTCTATCCAGAATATCGATGTTGGGGACATATGAAATCGGATTAATGTTGGGATATTATGTTAGTATAGATAGTTTAGGTGAACGAAACATTGGTGTGGGTCTGTAGGGATTAGTATAGAGACATTTCATTTTGTAAAACGAAATTACAGCATGTACCTTTTTGCGTGTATTAATAAAACATTTTTTTCTCTCAAAGTGATCTGCATTCCAAATTGGAACGGACACGTGACTTTTTTTATTTTGAATGCTTGTATAAAAGTGTTATCAAAGATGGAATCTGAGATTGACTTACTTAGGCAAGAAAATGCCAGACTTGTGGCCAAGAATTATGAGCTCGAGGCTGAGATCGTAAAGCTGAGTCAGATTATTGAGGAGAATGCCAGGCGCGATGTTAGGGTCAAAGAACTAGAGCAAAAAAAATACAGAGCTTGAGGCCAGACTTGCGTCATTGGAACAGGCTTCCTTGATAGTGGATAGACAGCCACAGAATGATAATGAAATGATATCAGAGGGGTTACCAGAGATATCCGTACCAGCTGTTGATGTATCCGAACTTGTAATAGACCAGCAAAATAATGTTGATACCAAGTCAACGGAGGATAAGATAATAGATGATTGTTTGCTTAAGCAAACACCGATGCCAGAGGTGTTACCAGAGATAACTGATGTACACGATGTTTGCCGGAAGCAAACCCAGCTTGAGCAGTGTAAGCCTGATAGCAAAACAAATAATATGATACCATAAGTGTGTATACCAGCCCTCCATTTTGTGAAGAGGATAGGAAGACCAATGAATTCTTAAACGCGGTGTATAAGAAGAAGGTTGGCGATGAGATTAGGCAAAGGAAGCGGGAGAAGAAACTTCAAGATAATTCGTCACCAGAGGTAACTTCCCAGAGAGAACCAGATTCAGAAACACTCGTAACTTCTTTAGATTCTGCCATTCTCTTGAATGATAAAAATGGACAGGGTTGTTCTTCTTTTCCTCAATCAGAGATTTCACGAGATAAGAAGAATACTCAGTTTTCAGAAAATTCTAATAACAGTCCATCATCTAAATCATGTAATGCTTCTTCTAGCTTTGAATGTGATGAGAAGGTGGGGAAAATTCCCTATAATCTGAAAGTAGAACAAGACTTGAGAGACGAGTTATCTGCTTACATGGAAGGCAAGGGATCCGCTTCACAGAGTGGAAATAAAATATTTGATATACAGATTCCCAAATTATCCTTAGAAGCAATTCTGACAGGATCTAATAAAATTACATCACAAGTCATAGTTGATTTATTTAATATAGCAATGAAGGCCAGACGAAAGGAGATCTTATGCTGGTATTGTTACTATAAGGCGTATGAGGATCGAGTTAGGGATGTTAAGTCTAAGAATGGTATTGATGACAAATCGGCAAGAACATTGGTGTACAGCGAAATCAAATCCCTTCTTCCTGACACTACTGATATAAACTTGCGTAAAATAACTTTCAGAGCTAAAAAAATCTATATATTGTTTGATAGAATAGGAATAAATAGAATCCAAATAATTAGCTGTAGCGCAAGTGCTATCTTGAATTTATCTGATAATCAGATCCAGGACATTATAAATGATTTCCCCCAAAAGCTACCAATACGGATGATGTAGATTATGATGACTCCGTTCCAAATTGGAACAGACACGTGACTTCGAAAACCAATAAAACTGCACCTCAGCCAACTTATGACCACGCCTATTTTCGCAACAAAGCATTGGATCAATATCCTAATTTATATAAAGAATTTAGTAGTGAAAAGTTCAATTATTATGGAATTACCGACGAGACTCCATGTCCATTATGTAAGTTAGATCATGATGATGAGGAAGGTATAGAAGGT